GCCTATAGCTACATATAGGCCCAATGACCATGATTGAATCTGGGCCGATCTGACAAACACGAACTCATTTCGTATTTGAATTTTAATTTGTTTTTTACAAATCCAAATTATGTGAAATTTTAGGCATCTATTCTTCTCAGCAACGCGTACCTAACAAAAATATTTTAAGAAATAATTTGTAAAGTATAAATTGACCAAAATACCTTCGAAAGGTTTTCGAGGTATTTTGATCAATTTATTTTTTACGAAATATTTTTTGATATTTTTATTAGATTTTAATATTTTTAAAGAACACACGCCTAAAATTTTAAGTGATTTTTATTTATATAAAAAACATTAAAATTCAAATACAAAATACAATTGTGATAATTGGCACGGTCCAGATTGAATCTGGGGCGTGGGCCTATATATAGCTGTAGGCTAGTGGGCCTATGCCAGCATTTCCCTATAAAATTCTAGGGATCAGGAATTCTCTTACTCTTCTTCCTTGTTCTATCTTCCTTTCGTTTCTTTTTGTGAATTTTGGACAACTGTTACCACAATTTTATACTCTTCCATATATATGGAATGAATGCTCTTTTTCTTTCATCTTTGACTGGTCTACTTCTTATTTGATTCATGATTTGCTTCTCTTTCTCTTATCTCTTGTAACCAACCCTTATCTCCTCTAGAAGGGGGTAAGAGATGAATATGGAGGTCTGCCCCACATGCAAGTGTACTTGACCTCCATGTTACATGACTTGGACACCCTCTCAGAATTTCATCCAAGTCCTTAGGGTATGTGTCATTTTTGGTTTTCACATAATCCCCATGTATATATATATATATATATAGTTAAAAAGCGGTTAAAGGTGAGTGTACGTAATATATGGTCAAGGATGGTTTAGGCCACAATACAGATGAAAAGGCACCTACAAATGATAAAATTGTAGGAGAATTCATTGTAGGGCCATGATAATACTTTTGTAAAGACCACCAATGGAATGTAAATATTTCAAAATTTAGAAGAATGAAGAAAAGTCACATAAATTTTAGAAACAAATGATATGGTTCACTTATAAATTTTTGGGAAAATGACCTCTAACTCCCTCTTTGAAATTTCCATTCTTATTAACCCCTTGGGTTTACCAAATTCCCTTGCACCCCCTCAAGTTTCAAACTTTGGGACAATTAGCCCCCTGATTATATTTTTTTTTTCTTCTTTTTATAAATTTGATCTCTTTGTTTTACAAAATGACAAACCCATACATTAGTCATCCATATTTTTTGTGATTTGGTATATAAATTTTATTGATGATAATATTTTATAATTATCATAATTAATTAATAATAATAATAATAATAATAACTAGAATAATATATTACTTGTTAAATATTTCATTGCTTATAAGTATTTTGATAAAGTTTTTTAATAAAAAATAATAATAACCATTAACAATTGTAACAAATATATTGATTAATCATTTTCAAGTTCAAACGATATTGATATAATTGTAACATAGGTCCTAATATTAAAGAAAAATTCATATTTCTTTTCATGTCTAAATTTATAGAGTGATCCATAGAGGTAAGATTGGTTTTAGGTAATGGAAGAGAGAGGGAAGGGAAAATTTTGTAAAATAAAAAGATCAAAATTGTAAAAATAAAATAAAAAACACAATTAGAGGGCTAATAGTCTCAAAATTTTAAATTTGAGGGCGTACAAAGGATTTTGGTGAACCAAATGGGCTAATAGAGATGGAAGTTTTGGAGAAGGGGATAAAGGTCATTTTCCCTAAATTTTTTCCTTTGATATATTACTTTTGCAAATTGTACTCCGCCTTTCTTCAAGCTGGTCACGCCAGTCCCAAGCCCAGGTAAAAGAGGAAGATGTATTAGGTAGGTAGCTAGCATAAAACTTTACAAATATTTTTAGAAGTCTTGAACTAATCATTTGATAGAGCAAAATGGCCGAACATGATTTATGTAGCCGACTCCAAATAGTTGGGATAAAAATCAAATGATCACGACATATTTTACTTTTGCGGCATACAACTCAAATGACCTTCAATTTTTATGGCTTTGTTCCGGTTTGTTTTCCGAAAAGGAAGAAACAATGATAAGGATCCAAGAGCCCACATCGCCCTGTCAAAGAAAACCAAAAAATAGGATAAAAAATTTAAATCATTGACCAAACTAACATGAAATCCAGCAAGGAAACTTCCTTACCATTTAGGAATAAGCCATTTTGGACTGGGCTTGATGCTGCTCTCCCTAATAAATGAAAATCATTTGCAAAAGCACTATAAGAGAATATTAACTTAGCGTAAACTGCAAAATGGAAGAGCATGCATGTATGTGCATCTGTGATAGTTTTACGTGCACACGTATGCGCACATCCACGCACCTGTGTTGGAACGGATAGGTAAAAGTAACACGCTACAATTCATTGTCAAAATTTTTAAAGGGTGTGGTTTCTATAAGGTTGCAACCTTAAACAATCCAATTAAGACGTACCTCCAAATTTTATCATAATATGTAATTTTGTTGTAAAAAGTTTTTTGGATTATCTTAAAATCTATTTTCATATCTAATTAGAAAACTTTAAACTCCCAAAATGGTTAAAATCAATTAGATCTATAAAAATATGAAAATCTTGAAAATGGACGGTCTAGATAATGTGTTGCAAGATGCATTATTTTTGGAACTCAAAAAAGTTTTTTTTTTTCCATATTCATACATGTCAATGCCGAGATGATCAATTAGAGAGTTTTTCAACATTAAAACAACCTTTCCAATAGATTTTTGAGATGCATATGTAATTCTACATTTTAAGGTTTCAACCTTATATAAACTTTTTTCTTTTTTAAAACATGGCACACTACAATTTGAATAGACTTTGGTGGGCTGGCCATGTGTGGTACTGACCAAGTACAACACCTGTTAGGAAATATGAGTTAGTTCAAGTGGAAAGACTAAAAAAGGCAAGGGATATACCCAAAAGGACGTGGTTGGAAATAGTCCGAAAATGTATGAGGACTTATGACCTCACTAAAGATACAGTTTTTAATAGAGCATAAGGGAAAACTAGGATTCATATAGTCAATCTTAATTAATTCGAAAAATGCTAAAATGATGATGATGGTGAACACGGTACAATTTGAATTGTGTAATGCGGAGTAACACCTTGAGCTAGATATCCTTTTGCATACTTGAAAACATCATCTCAATTCGTGACATATATCATGTATTTACAAAGCATATAATACTGTCTAATAAAAACCATACTTTTAAGTTTAGAAAAAGTTTATATCGAGCCGAGGCTCTAAACAATCAAATTAGAACCCACCTCAAAAATTTCACTAGAAGAGGTTGTTTTGATGCCCAAATATCCTCAAATTGATCATCTCGGCATCAAGATGCATTGATCAAAGAAAATAATGGATTTTAAGTTTTGGAAATAGTGCATCTTGTAATGCATTTTTAGACTGCCAATTTTCAAGATTTTCAAGTATTCATAGATTTGCTCGATCTGCACTGTTTTTGAAGCATTAAATTTTATAGTTAAAAATAAAAATATATTTTAAAACTATCACAAAGATTTTCATATAAAAACCACATTTTTCGACACTATTTGAAGGTACTTTTTACTTGATTGTTTAGAGCCTCAGCTCTATACAAACCGCACTCTTTTATGTTTCTTAATATTGGCCTGCATTCATTACAAAAAAAAAAAAAAAGAAAGAGAGAGAAATTTAAGTTCTTCATGTTTGAGAATTTCATATATTCTTTGAGCATTTTAGTATGTATCTGGTGTGGTTAACAAGGCCGCATCTCAAAACCCAGCTAGAAAATATAATTTTGGTACTAGAACTGGCATGAAATACTAATATACATATATGCTATTCATCATGAAATTCAGGAATATAAATGGTGTGCGAATCTGTAAACACCTAGAATTCGACCATTGAGATAATATTTTATAAGATACACTATTTTTAAGACTTGAAAATCTTCATTTTGTTTTATTTAAGGTCCATAATCATGGTACCAAAACTGCATTTTTTAATAGTTTTGAGATGTATATTTACTTATAACAAAGCATAGGCCCTATATGAACTCTTGTAATAGCCATTTCTCAAAATTTCAGTCCAATTTTCTTTCCATCTCCTAAAATGTTTATCTCCAAACTCTTTACATAAGGTGTTTCTTTAGCTAGGCTCTCACCGTGGGCTTCCCATGTTAAAAGTCTTTCTCCTCCTTTCCTAAAACAGTAATTCCAATCAGACTAACTGGATACATTATTTCAAGAAAATAGGTATTTATGTAAACCAATCAGAAATCGTTGAAATTTGAAAGTGAGGGTAAAAATTTAAATTATTAAATTAACTAACTGTAGAAATATAAGTGAATTAAATAAAAATAAAAAGACATCTTAATATTTTATGAGATTATATATAATGAGACCATTTATCTTTAATATAAGAAGGTCACAATTACTTATAGAGATTGTATACAATGAGACCATTTACTTTTGGAATAGGGAGGTCACAATTACTTACAACCATCCGATGTGATGTGCCATAGAATTCAAAAAAAAATTCTTTTGAAGTTTGAGCTTGATCAATAAAATAAATGCAGCTACCCAATTTCACATCCAATGGTTAAAACTATTATGACCACCTTGTACAAAAAATAAATAATCTTATTATAGACTTTCTCGTATCTTATTAAATTAATATTTCAAAATTTATTTATATCTAATTCACCGCTGGGGCATTTCGGGATGCATGTTACTTGAAAAAGGTAAAACCTTGCTGATATTAACAGTGGTAGGATTAGCAAGAAAACTTGTGGTATAACCATGCTCTCCTTTCTTTTGGTTTTGAGTTTTAAGGTATTATATAGAATGAGATCATCAAGGAGATTCAATTCCTTATAACCATCCAATATAAAATGTGATAGCTTGGGTGTGTCATAAATATCGAGAAAATGTCTTTTGAGGTTTGAGTTGGGTGAATAGAAATAATGTAGCCATCCAACTTCACATCCAAGTTTCAATATTTTGACTACTTTATATTAAAGGTAATGATAATTTCGAAAAATCGAATCGGCCCGGTTTTGAGAAACTGGTAAGCTGGTTGGGTCAACTATCCTATCCCAGCCGGTCTAAATAGTGTTAAAAATAAAAATATATAAAAAATGTATAAAGTATATTTAAAGCATGATTAAACAAATTCCATCCAAATGAAGTTGAAAATTAGAGAAAAAAATTTTAAAAAATGGATTTGTGCCTAGAGATATTTTTGAAATTTTTTAAAACAGATGGAAAAATATAAAAAATAAGTATTCATGGCAAAAACACACTATATGATCTTTGCCAAAATGATAAAAAAAATTTAAAAAACATATTACAAACAAATCTCTTATTTTTTGAGATTTTATATATGGTTTTGATTTTTTTTAAAAAAATATACGGTCGGACCACCAAAACCCGATGAGCTAGTGCCCGGTTCCAACTTGACTTGCAGGTTCCAAGTTGTACGGGCCGGTTCCTAGTTGGAGCAGTCAAGTTTGCCAGCACTAGCAAATGGGCTCATTGTATGCTTTTTTTATTATTGTTATTTTAATCAGAAAACGTGATTAATATGTGACTACGCTGAAAAATATTTTCTTCAGTGAGTGTCTAACCTCATCAGCGTAAATAAAAGAGAAATCAGAACAGTGAGTAAGAAAATTCACATATTTACATTGCAGACGATGCCGAAGGATTCTCGCCACATTCATTCCCTCTTTCACTGCTTTCGGGGAACATCTTTAACCCTCGTTGGGACCTAAAATGAGAGCTGTTGCGTCTGAAATGTGAAATATGAGAAAAATGAGTCGAGAGGAGAGAATAGGGTGGGTGTATAAGAGCTGTTCTCATCGAAAAGAGAGAGAAGCATTTCATCAGAGAACAAGCCACGCCTCTCACTAAATTCAGACAGAGGGAATTTGAATTGGGAATGTTTCGCATGGTTATATAGTACAATGGGGAATGTGAGGAAGAAGAAGGTTGATGTTAATTTGCGTATAAGGCTCTTCCATCCTGGATTGAGGGACAAGGCCCAATTCCCTAAAGTCTTTGTTTAAGACTTTGGGCCTGGGCTACGGTTGCTCTAAGTGTTTGCTTACACGCTATATAGTATAACCTGTTCGTGCTCTGAGAAATAGAGAGATGCAATATTGGGCAGTGGCAATGGACCGGGCCAGGGCCAGGGCCAGGGCCAAGGTTGGGCTACCCTTGGCCCAAGCATGGCCTTTGTCCCCATAAAGTTTGCCCAGGCATGACCCTAGCCTTTTTAGAGACGAGCTGGGCCAAAAATAAATGAAAAAACATAAAAGAAAAAAAGAAAAAAAGAAAAAAAGAAAAAAAAGAAAAAAAAAAAAGAGAGCTACCGGGCTATTATGAATTTCACTGACACTGGCCCGAGCCTATCCCTCAGGCACAATCTGTGGCCTAGGCCCTACTTTTTTAGGGCCGGGTCACCTAGCCCATTACCAGCCCAAGTTTTCTTTGCTAAAAAGAGGGAGATAAATATGGAAATTTTCAGGTTTTGGATACTCAAATTGCTCATCTAACATGTTGCTCATCCAAATTTGGTTAATGTTTTTTATGTTCTTTGGTAAGACACGGAGGGAAATGGATAACTACAAATACTCTTAGAATTGTAGGATTTTGTTTGTACTCGGTGCTTTCCTAGCACCTTTTGTGTGGCGTGATAAAATATCATATTGCTTAAATTCTCAAATTCCCACCCAACCTATTGAGAAAGTGGGAGAATCAATATGATAATGACAACCCATCCTTGAAAGGGTGGGAAACGAAAAAGTGAGAAATTTAGTTACGATAACTTCCTGACTATGTCGGTGGGAGGCGAAGGCACACGGAGGGTAGAGG